TAGATAGATAGATAGGTAGTTAGATAGATAGATAGATAGATAGATAGATAGGTAGGTAGATAAATAGATAGATAGTCTGATAGATAGATACATAGGTAGAAACATAGATAGGGAGATTGATAGATAAACAGACAATCAGAGTGACTAACTGACAAACTGACTGACGGTCGGACAGATAGGCAGAGAGAGAGTAATATGTAGGTAGTCTCGCATTTGAATGAATAGCGGTCAGCCTGCATAAACACAGCGGAGCGAGCGAATCGTAGATCAAACACATGGAGCGTCCGATGATTATCTGTAGCGTGGTCAGTGATAATCGGGCTGATGTTGAAAACCCATCAGTCCAACAGACAAGCGACTGGACAACCGAGTGTAGTTCCTTCTTAATAGCGAGTAGTCTGTGAGGACAATTCTTCTAATCAGGATTGACAGAGCTCCTGTTAACAATAATTGTTGCTCAATTATTTTCTTGTTTCCAGGCGCATGTTGTAGATAGAAAGCCTCCTTGCCAGGCGCATTTGTTTTTAAAGTCTCGACGCTTGATGGAGGCTGAAACCGAGGAGGAAAATGAAGTCGCTTGGCGAAGGCTGCACCGTACACTTCAGGTTCGTGTTTTATTTTCCTTCTCCAGTTGATCTCAATAAAGAAACCGATAAGACCGATATAAGATTATTTTAGGTAAGAGTCTATTTGTGTGATGGGGAATAGTTATCGAGAACGCATAGGAGCAGGTAAAAGTCATCAGTTCAATATTTTAGCGGCCGTGACTTAACGTGCGAGAAATTTGTTTACTGTATCGTCCACAACTATCCTTCTCGCTTTTTTCAGCTGGGATACATCGTCAAGGAAACGTTTCGCGACATCGTCGTGGATGTGACAACCCACCGTATGCCAACTGTAAACGGTTTATCCAAGAGGGATGAGTTCATGTGCTTCCGGGCAGTATTCGATCGATTCCTGACGCACTGCTTCACAATGCAGCAGGCAAGTTGCCCTCGTGGTGCTTTCATTACTAGCCAATGCATTCACCCACGGCGTAACGGAAGGCAAGCCTCATTCTCAAGATTACTCTTAGTTAAACGTCCGGCAAATGAACTTTCAAGGCTAATGTGGTGCTCATAGTTCAGTTTCAGTTCAGTTCAGTTCTGTTCTGTTCAGCTCAGCCCGGTTCAGCTCAGCTCGGTTCAGTTCATCTCAATTCAGTTCAGTTTAGTTCAGATCAGATCAGATCAGCTCAGTTCAGCTGGGTTTGAAACTACTCAGTACTGAATTCTAACCAGAATAACTCAACCACCACGAAATGTTGAGAGTTTGATGTTTGAATTTACACAAGACAGTCGTGAAGAGGGGATTCCTCGTTTGTGAAGGGTTCGTGAATTCAATATTTCTAAGAAATACGGTGAAGCACGATCCGGCCAGCAAATGTGACTGGAATCGTTAGGTTTGTTATTCAAAACCGCTCTAATTCTAGGAAACATTTACCATCAAGCCGATGTCCAACCGATAGAAACCTGGAACAATTTGTGCGGTAAAACTGTAGAAAGACACGCCCAAGATGATACCCATGTCTAATGAACTCGGGTTAGTTCATATGAATACCTATGTTTTACTATGAATATGCATCGTGGTTTCCATGTTTTGATAAGCTCTGGTGATTCTGTATACGTTGGTATGAATGACGATTTTTTGATCAACAAGACCAGGTTCTTTGTTTACAAAAACGCGTTTGATTCTACCTGCAAGTAGTTTGATTGCAAGTCAACGGATGCCCGGCTATTGCGCATTGGGGCTCACTAGAGTCCGACCCCCTGGACTGCCGGTACTGGGCTCTTGTACACTGATTTCCGGAGAGCCGATATTCTGCAACATTTCCACTGTTTAGAATTGCTCAACGACAATCACGCAGCAACGCACTTCAGCAACGTTACACCTGTCCGAAAAGCGCAACATACCGTTCTTGATTCCAAGAATCCTCCAATCTCACCAGTAACGGCATTGCAACATTGCTAGTTCTCTCCGCTTTGGTTATGAAGTGTATCATTTGCCTTTTTCAAACTAACGAGTGCTTATTGACGGAACTTGCCTTTGGTCAGTTGATATTCACTCTCCCCATACTGAGCAATCGATCGCGTAAATAGCACGATTATTCACTGTTGAATCACCTGTTCCGTTCGTGGATATTTTGCCGGCGCACACAGTTTCTCCGCAATTGAGTGTTCACCGGAGAACCCTTGTTACTCCAAACACACCCGACTTAAGACTAAACATCAACGACAAAATTACTGACCACTATTGTCACACAACAGTAAGTGGGAACATGTGCGAATCTAAAGTAGTTGTTGGTTCAAAGGTGTGCTCAACATGTAGGGTCCTCAGTGTTCCTTCTTCGTGGTAAACCTTTTGTTTCCGCGGTGATCATAATTTTCTAGCTTGGATCCCCTTATCAATATGCCTTTAGGTCCCCGAGATAGCTCACCATACAACTCATCTAATGGAGCTATGCAAAGCCGGATATGACGCGCAAACCCTCATCGACTCTGTCCACAACGTCTGTTCCTAACGGACACGCAAGGGGTTGCATGGTTTGGCCAAAATAAATTGAATTTCCACTTATCTTTCTCGAGTTCTACCATCGCCACAAAACATGGGTTGTGTTTTTTGATCAATCTAGCCGTCCGGAAATCGTCCGGTAAAAAGTGGACTAATTTAATCAACACCGTCGGGATTCTCAGGCCTTGTGGACTTATGAAAACGCCTTCATGAATCTGACATACTATCCCACAGTAGATGCACGGGCCAGTTAGGAACCTGATGCTTGTGTTGTTGGATTCATCTGCTTATCTATGGTTATGCGCGTAAGACGGGACGCAACCGACCCCAGGCCACGGGTATCTTGCCCATTGTCCAGTTAATCCAAAGAAGATTTACTGAACGCACCACATGCAAGTTACCACACAGATATAACACCACATCGAGACCGATTATTGGGGCCGGAAGAATATCTGCTTTGGAACTGAATAATAACATGCCAAGGGACACAACAATCCGGTTGGCCAAACGGTTGGCATGCAGCAAAAATTTCAAAACTATTCTTGAAACCTCCTGAAACGCATAAAATTGCGGAAAACTGTTCAACAACCACTACGGTTCTACCTTTCCTGTGTTTCATCGAAAAGTCGTGCAAGTTGGTGTTCAATGAAAACAAGGTTGATAGAAAATTGCAGACGAATAAATTAAGGACGAATCAATGCCACCGAGTAGATGCGGTGTGACGGTTGATTTACACGTTACGCAGATGTCTATCATGGGACAAACGCACAAAATCATTCCGTACTGGACAGTCCCTCCGGGGTTGACTAGACATGTCAATCCGCAGACCGCGACGGAAGTTTCCATTTGAAATGTGGCACAAAATATACAAAACGTTCTACACCGCACTGAACTAGATGCTTTTTGGGGTCAGGTAATATCCCCTATAATGGAAGCTTACCTCTATGTAACACCAGCGCGAAATGCGCCATCATTCGCCAGTTGGTAAACAGTTCTACTGACTGCAAGGAATTGGCGATACGCAAGTCAGGAAGCATGGATTTCCATCCCGGTAACTTTTCGTCGTGTGGCTTTTGGGTTGTCAGCTATCTTGTTTGGTTTGTCTGTTTGCAGTGTAGGGTATTTGTTCCATCCATGCAATTCACTAGCACCCCATGGCTTACAAAACAGCAGAGATTTAATAACCAGACAAACCCCAACTCAGATGCCAATCTGATTACTTCGTTTACAGCTTATCGTAACTGATGGCACTCTTCAACTACACCACGTTTCTAGAGAAAGGTCTAAGTAAAACAAAAGGATTGATACCGTTTTATTAAACTGCCTTTACAAATCATATGCCTGGTTAGAGAAAGAACTCACCGATAAGGGTACAGAACAAACAAGCGGTTGCGCGCGAGTGCAAAGGTTTCAACGGCCCCGCGCTATTTAAATGGCCCTTCCCGGCATTGATCCAGGCAGTCTGATAAGCGTTGGGTGAACACCCATCAACATCGATCGTAATTCTGTGAAATGCCGGAACGCCAAACATATTCGGTTGCGCTTCTGTAGCGAGCATGAACGCTCCTTGTCTATTGCTGAATTGATTGAATGATTGACTGGCCTGGATGCTTGCCGGCTTTCCTATTCAGATTTTGGTGCAGTTTTAGTATCTCTTTGGGTTTCGACCGTTCTGGAGTTATCGTCAAGAATCGGACCTACCTGATAGATAGAAATACTCTCACCTCGTTCACTCAGTAACGCCGTCTTAACAAGGGTCTCAAATGATAAATCTTCCGTGTATATCGGTCTCTTTCAACTGGATTGTAAACTATAATAAGTTTCAGAATCCTGTTAACTGACGAGTTAGTTCATTCCTCTCGGTGCGCCCTTAACGTTGCCGCTCCCGAGGATGGCTAGAACACCGTATGCAGGAGTATGATATTTAACCCATACGAAATTCCCGGAACAAACTAAAGCTGGATTGGCATTTTGTTTCCCTTGGCTGCAGTTTAACCAACGTAGATGGCGTCGTTCGCTCAACATGTCATATGTTGCCCGGACTGAACACGCTAGGGCAACGACAGGACCGAATCACGCACCTCGGCCCCCGCTCCCAAATTTTAAGTTTTGCAAATGAAATAACGGTTGAACTGTCAGATGCCACCGGTTGGACTGGGATCGTTGTCACTATAGTGCTGGAGCAATGGTTAAGGGCGAACGTGCCGGTCGGACAGTCCGCTGTTTGGCCCAATCCTGACATTTCGAGTGCTCCTGAGCAGTATCTCATTCCTCGTAATTCTTTGGGCGGCAGGGTACAACAACTGAAGGGCTATTTTATATTTCTCATTTTTATTACACATAAACTTCCGGAGTTATATCGAATAGTGCAAAAATTATGAAGGCGTGTTCTTCACGTAGCCGAACGAATTATACTGGCCTTATACCATTTATACAGCCATTTACCATGGTTGTACTACCGACACCTATAACCTTGTTAGTAAAGGAAATATTAAACTGATTGCAGGAACGTTAATTCGTCATCACTGACTAGGACTCGGGATATACATCAGAATTGTGTCTCTTTTGGACAGAGGAAGACTTCAGGTTCTGGTAATGCTCACTTCGGATAGTCCCACAAATAGTGACGTTGTCGATGTAAACGTAGGTGCCAATAAAGTTCTCAGGCTCGATTCTTTGATCAATAGGACGTCTAAAGCATGCTACTCTGAGATGAGAACGACGGAACTGAAACAGTTCCCCGCATGCTTTAAAAGCCGTATACGGGTTGTCTTGCTCACTGATTGGAACTTCATGTTAAACAATCAATAGGACTAGTGTGCTAGAGAGAGCCTGACGGGGAATTTCTTCAAGCATTGCATTAACTCAGAGAAACGGAGAGGCGTTTCGATTAGTGAAGCAACTATTCGTTTGGCTGTAATCTGGTACCATGTGTCTTTTGTGGTTTGAATTTTTTCTGACCAGTACTTGAGCCCTGCAGAGGGAATTCGATAGTTCATTTAGGTAGACCGCAACCGGCTGATAAACC